CACTAACAGCTTTCACTCCTACCCTCTTCCAGTCCATGTCCTCCGACGTGGTCCTGCATCTATCTGCAGCTCCCCTCTCCACGCCAGCAGCAACAGCTAGCCTAGAACCAGTGATCACCTCTTCACAACACATCCATGCATGACACCATGCATGTGAAGCTATCGATTAAGCTATCGACACATCTCATGCACTGTGCTGTGATTGTGCCTGCTTCCCCTACCACACCCTCTCTCTCTGCCCCGTATGTCTCTCTCCCGCAAACAACAAGTGCTGACATGTTTGCTCGCTTCGGACGAGACCTTTAACCCCCATCCGGCCGTGGGATATGCAATGGAAGGTGCTAAGAAGATATGCGGAATGCCTCGGCAACCGTCGGTTAGTGCGGCACAGCAACGGGCCGTGCTTCGATAGCCGCTTCGAGAACACATGAGCCGCTGCTACACAACATGTTTACTATCTTCCCCCATTGGATTGGGGTATGTGTGGTGTGGTGAGAGGGGTATCACGACGTGGAGGTGGCTGGCTAGGCTGTGCACCTATCTGCTTCTCTTTCCTTTTTCCCCTCTACCCCCTCTAGCGAGTGTCAAGGTCCACATAGTGCATGTTTATGCGTTCGTGTCTTCCCTCCCAACGAACGCATGTTCGTATGTACATGCGTTCCGGCCACTCCAGCTAGGTTGGGAAGGTGAATAGATAGGTAAGCGCGAGAAACACGACATATACCATTGGCTCCTACGTCAATAATGTGGGGAAGGCCGCATTGAAGACTGAATTAGAGCAAAGTAGGCACAGAGAGCAACGACAAGTGGTTTCGGAGAACGAAAGAGGGGGACAAGGCCGGGAAGGAAGGGGCGCGGGACAACGGCCTGAAGCGGGAAGGGAAGGATCTAGCAGGCTTCGGAGGTTTGTTTCCTCTAGCACAAGCACACTTGACACATACCTCGTACAACCGAGATGATGTGAATTATGCTTTCGATGTCGCTATTTCGTGTTTGAAGGACCGAATTTCGCGTATTCATACATTGAATTGACATTACTAGCTGCCTTGGGGCTACCGATGAGATTGGTTGTACACTTGTCTACATGCTCATTTCATCCGCTTCTTCCTTGTAGCTTACTTGGGCCGTGGCCCTGCCAGACTTCTTCCGTGTTGCGGCGGGTCGTGCATTTCGCTTCTGCACAGCAGGAGCCTCGTCCTCGGTCCCTTCGCTAAGCGGGGGTGAGCTAAGTTGATCATCCTCTTCGTCTGACGCCGAAGGTGTTGGCACGGACTTTGCTGCTGCCTTCTTCTTAGTCGATGAAGCTGCTGCTCGCTTAGCCGGTGCGGCCTTCTTGGCTGGTGTCTTGATGGGCGTCTTGACATCCTCGAGTGGAGCGGCTTCACTTGCTATGGAGGCCGCGTCAGCGGCGGTCTTGCGCTTCTTCTTCGCTGGCGTAGCGGCGCCGTCTTCTTTCTTCTTGATGATCCGTTTTGGGGGTCTGAGCCAGTCCTCCATTCCTGGTGGCCAGTACACTCTTCCCTCTGGTCCTCCCATGCCTACTTCCTCGTCAGGTACAATGGGTGGGGGTACGTCCTCTGGCTCTTCCTCTTCAATCTTCGCATCCAGCTCATCAAGCTCGTCGGTCTTCTTTTTCTTGGTCTTCTTGACAGCCTTCTTGGGCTTGGGCTTCCAGGGCTTGTTCTCATCCTGGCGCGTATGTGGCAGAATGTCGTTGAAGGTATCGAAGCCTGGGAGCTTGAATGTTCGCATGAGCTCAAATACAGCCTGCTCCTTGTCCTTTGCCTCGATCATCAAGTCCATAGTGTCAGGGCAGGGAGGGAATGTCATGACGCGGGGTGAATGCTTTCTCCGCTTCGTGCGAGTAATCGCAGGAGGTGTTTGCTCAGAGTAATGCATCTTAGGCGTGATCCCTTTCTTCTCCCATGTTGCAAGAATACGGGGATAGTAATCCATGACATCCTTGGTACCTTCACGGATCTGAGTATCGTCGAAGAGAATGTTGTGATGGTGATAGTCAAGCACGAATGGGATGTTAAGCTCTTCACATAGAGGCAACAACTCATGCATGTTCCATACAACGTCGTCGTTCTCAAGCACCAAACGGTTCTTGACGCCTTGAGGAAGCCTTGCGTAGTTTTCCTTGAACCTCTCAATGGCCGCTGGCTTGTCGCCATATGCTCCACCGAGATGTAGGATCATGACAGCATCCCGATCCTGCTGCTCTGGGAGCTTCAGAAGAGAAAGCATCTCAGCATGATACTCCAGATCACGCATTGCGTTATCAATGACTTGCTTTCGCGGGGAGCCCAATTGTGTGAACTGGCCCGGATGAGTAGTCACTCGATGACCCAGCTCACCGATCACTTTGCCTGCTTCACGCAACGTCTCGGCAGCGAAAGGCTCAAGCTTGTAGCCATACTCGTCATGGCTTGCAAACGGGAATATCTCGCTACTCAAGCGCATGAACTTGATGCCGTACCTGTCGTTCCAGCGCACCATCTTGATTATATCCCGCGCATTAGCGAGGCCAATCTCTTCGACGTACTTCATGCCCCGCGCGACATCCGCTGGTTGTTCCTTATCGGGGCGATTCTTAGTGGCATGTTCGGGCTGGGAGGGGTCCTTCAGGGGATGGCGATGTTCGATGATGCTCGCGATGCGGCAGGTTCTGGAGCTGAAGACGGGAGGGGTAGCACTACGGAGGTACGTATTGAGACAGGCCTGTATGCACATTCGTTAGTTTAGATTAAAAGGTACCTGCAGGAAACATACATAGCCAAGTCGACCTTTCCACGGAAGAGGAAGGTATTCAGAGTTGACCGGTGGGGGTCTCGACAGGGCTTCCTGGACCTCTGCCTCGTCCTCGTCCTCAGCCTCGAGGTTATCGACATCGTCGGGATCTGCCGCTACCCCAGTGCTGGCTGCAGGTGCAGTGACATTCCCAGCTATGCCATTCACGGCACCGTTGTTGGTGTCTTCCTCTTCCACTTTGATTTGCTGGGCGCCGGCCTTCTTTCGCTTGTTCTTTGCAGCATTCGCTGCAGGGGCGGCGCCATTCGCTACGGGCGCATCGCCGTTTGTGGCAGGTGCTGAGGGCGCCTTCTTCTTCGCACGCGCACCTGATGCAGTATTCGCCTCATTCGCAGTACCGTTGCTGACGGCAGATTCCAGCACAGCATCATGCGCGGCGCTTTCGTGTCCATCAGGCGATGCGCGTAATGCAGTGACTCCATCGAGGATGTCAGGGTTGAGATTAGGGTCGGTCTTCTCAGCCTTTCCCCCACGCGTCGTTTGGCGACGAGGAGGCTTCGCGACGTTTGACGGCAAAGGCACGTCTGTTCGGCGCATCTGTGATCGGTCCATTGGGGGCGCCTCTTCGGTCGTAGACACCGCAGCTGCTACAGCAGATCTCTTCCGCTTAGGGGGCATGGTTGGAAGATAGGAGATCACGCGCGATCTCTGAAAAGTTGCCGTCGCTCGGAGTGGTGGATGGAATGCGACACGAGAGCAGATGCTGTGAAGGGAACGTAGCATGTGTCCGGACTCAGGTGATGCCGCTGCAGAGGAACAGCAAGTTTATTGAAAGGAGGCTGAAACCCGCGAACCGTGCTTCTATTGCCATGTTGGGTGGCTAACGCGTCGAGCTCGCGACTACGTCATTACATTGAGGTTTGATAGTATGACGCTGGTGTTGTCTGAGATCGGCTCAGACCCGATCGGCTACGATTAGCGAACCCGCCCGATCTCATGCCAGATCCCATCTTTCGCATTCTACAATCCCATCGCGACCACAATTGCATTCGTCTGGTCTCATCAAGGAGGCTATCGCTACATTTTCCGCTCTTCAACGCGCCATCGCAATGATGAGGCTCGACCACGCCCGTGACTGGACGGCATGCTACCTACGTATGCATAATGTATCTGCACAATCGTCATTTGTGCAAAGATCCACTGAAACACACGGTCCACTGATGGCCTGAATATATCGCGATCTAAGGGGTTCGATCGTCATCAGCGCGTTTACATCAATCTTTCACGATGGTGTCTGAAAGCACTAGCTTGATAACAGAGACTTTTCACGAAAAGCGTGAGAAACGGATCACTTTGTTACGATACCGCAAGACCATCCAAAGGAACGGAGCAGCACTGTCATCTCTCGATGCATTCCAACATGGCCTTGATTACTTTTTGTTCTGCATCCTCGTACATTTGTAGAACTAGGTGATCATACCATTCATGTCAACCTAATGTTAGAGTGACTCTATATGCACCACCGAACCAAGCCATCGCAAAACAACCAGACCATCTCCTGCTGTTTGGATTTATCGGTGGGGGCAACGTTATTGAGATGTGGTTACCTAGATGTCAATGCCAGTGCCAGGCTGTCTGGTGTGCTCCTCGGTCGCCCCTTCCTCATATACGCCGCGCTGCTGGTGGTGCAACTCGGAGAGTAGGGCTGTAAGGATGAAGTTGAGTCGGTTCAGGAAGGAGAAGAGAGGGTAAAGGGTTGTGCAGCGGCTGGGCTCTAGGCAACGCTTTGCGGTTGTCAAAGGTTCTTCACTGACGACAATGGTATACACACACTTTAAGAGGACCAAGAGGAGACATTCTAAGTCCCACCTAAACAGAATTTTGTACGGCATATTTGCATTTCACAAGTACAGAAGACTGGAGCCTATTCTTTTGACACTAGTGCGCCGTGTTGCGAGAAATCTTGTGGTCACCAAACGCTCCTTCCTCACTTGCACCGCGCTAGTAACGAGGCAACTCCCCAGGACTATTTACCCGCGCCCACACTTGCCTACCTAACCCATCGCTCATAGATCCTGCTTGATAACCCCAATACGACCACGCCTACTCGCCATCATCATCATACGCTCGATACCTTTTGAGGCTACACTACCTCTGACCTCTCTTGCTGGTACGTACAGTTCTGAGCTCATGTAGGTGTCGCACCTTCCTCTACTTCTCGTACTAACTGAATGTTAGCAGCAGTCATGGCGGCCAAGCTTCCCAGCCTACCGATAGAGCTCCTTCTCAATATCGTATGCTATGCGGAGACTCGCTCCAGCAGTCGCAAGCTATGCGAAGCGCTTCGTCTTACATGCAAGGAGCTCGATCGCAAGATCGTGCGGTATTTTGGTAACACCCACTACAAGCGAATCAAACTATCGTTCAGCGAGACAGGACTCAACCGGTTGCTGCGCATGTCGAGGGGACCACTAGCGCACCATGTCGAGTCTTTGACTATCCAATGTGGTACCGTCCATCCATTCCGGGACGTATGCATACAGAAGGACCCAAATTCACTATTGGACGAGAACATCAGCAACTGGCTAAAGGATGGCGATTGTGCAGATATTCTCAGGTCTGCTTTGTCCAATCTACCAAATCTTAGTGGGTTTCACATCAGGGAGACTGGCTACAATTTCAGGGTCCGTGAACGGAAGCAACTCGAGCTATTGTGGACTTACTGGGCTAAAACATTGAGAATGCTGCTGGCAACAGCAATTCCTACTATCCGGTCTCTCGAGGAGTTATCCATATGCGCCAACAGCACTATCATGGCAGCTGATCCCTCTCACCTGGGAGACATCATCACATTCACGGATCAACTTGGAAAGCTTCGAATGCTTCAAATAGACATGGTACTCGGCAATGGCAAAGGTATGTCCAAGATTGGAGCTCATATAGCCGCTCAACACTGATTGCTCACAGATAATGATGCTGAAGATATTCGCAATCTTTGCAGCCTGATCCGAGCCGCCGCAAGATTGGATGACCTACACATCGGATTTGGAGGTACAAGTCACTGCGACAAAGTCTTCGAATCCATCAATCAGTCCTTGAATCTGCCCGCGCTGCGTCGGCTATCCTTGTCCAATTTGAAAACGACACAGACTCAGCTCGAAGGCTGTTTACGCTCCATCAAAGATACTTTGAGGATTCTGTGCTTGGAGGAGGTATGGACCCGTAAGGCCACCTGGCCTGTCGGAATCGTACGTTTTATGAGGAAAGAATTAAATCTGGAAGAGGTCACCATACGACAACTCGATATCGGCTACTTAGGCCTCCACCTCAGCAGGTTCCACCAACTTCGTCCGAGTATCGTGGAAAAGGACTATCGCTATCATCCAGAACTGCATGATGACGGGTGGGCATATGTTGATTGGGAAGACGATGGTTGTGACGAGGTTACCCTCAAGTATGAAGATGGTGATGACATCAAGTACTGGCTCAGAATGATTGAAGAAGACTACAGGTTGAAGACATCTTGGGGTTTTGACGGTGGAAGATGGATGATTAAGGATACTACTGATACTGCTCAGTGTTGAACTTCATGGTTACTCTAGCTTTTCTCAGTCATGAATCAGTCCAAACTGCCGGCAAACGATAGGATTCAAGCATATGGCTCAAATGCCAGGTTGTCAAACGATAAGCGCACCTTCCATGAAAAAGCGCCCCACGAGCTTCCACTTCTGTAGTTTCTTGTAAAGCTTGTCCTTTCCGTTGTTGTTCACAGCGAGGAACGCATAATGGAGTTTCTCGAACTAAAGTCGACGATTATCACTCACATTTTGTTGCGCACACACATACTGTCACATATCGATAGTTCACCCGTTTCTAAGACCATCTTCACCTAAGGGGTAGCTAGGATCTGCGCCGCAGTTTGTTGCACACATCATGCCCAACCTCATATCGGGACTTGGATTTGTCGCCAGCCAGTGGAGCTCAGTACCACTAAAAACGAGCATGCGAGATAAAGCCATTCCTCCTTGTCCATACATACGGCTTATATAGTTAACAAGTACCTCGGGTTACGTATGATGTTGGTTGCAGGAGGTATGTGTGACTTGTTGTTAAGGTGTTATGACCGCACCATGGAATGAAGTGGATGGTAACCATGGTACAGTTTTGTCATCACAGCCACATAATAATAATGTGAGTCAGAGCCGAATAAATATTCTGTTGACCATAAAACTGATCAGATTGTCTTCGATCATCCCACACACTGTACACTTCACCCCAGTCGCACACGAAAACACGTACGAGTAACCTGAGCCGTAACCTCTTTTCACACCCCTCTTAGCCTCTTCCAAAAACGTCGCGGCCCATCACACCAGCACTTGCGCAGTGCCAGCAGCCACGATGTCATCTTTCCAAGACATACCCATCGAAACCCTCACTCTTGAGCACAAGATGCCACGTCTCATCCTCGACAGCCTCATAGACCGCATGTCACCCATCTCCGCCCTCATAGACCCATTACCCAAAAACCGTGTCTGCGGGTCTCTTGAAATTTTCCCCACGGAAATCCTCCTCCAAATCATCGAAGACCTTACCATCAGAGACACGATGCGTTTCCGACGCTGCTGCCGCTTCGCCATGCACGTCGTCGACACCGAATCGCCTCTACGGTACGCGTTGAAGTGGGCGCCAAATACCGTGAAAGGAATGATAGCGATACGAAATACAGCGCACATTACACCGAAGATGTTATTTCTCACGCTCCGACATCGACGCTGCTCGTACAAACGGAGTGGGAAGAAGTGTTGTGGAAGGTTAGCAGAAATAGTCTACCTACCCACATGCACGCGCCTCTGCCTTTCCTGTCTAGAGAGAGGCCACAGGCGGCCTGCGAGTAAAGAGTCGGTAGTCCGCTACGTTGGCGACATAGGACATGAGAATCTGAGCACTTTGCCCCATTTCCGGGCTTTACCTGTCACGTTGACGAATGGGGTGAACAGATTCTGGATCAAGGCAGAGGAGAAAATGTACGATTGGGAATACGTTGATAAGGTGTGTCCCCATCGGGCACAACTTGACGGTGATCGATACAGCACATATTGGATCAATCGTCGCATCTTCCTTGGCGAAATGAAGGCACAGCAACGGGTTAGCCATCGAGGTCACCTTACAGATGTGGATGTCGTACCGAAGGTGACGGTTATGGGTATGTGCTCTGTCCGGGCTCCGGCGATTGACCCAGTGCCATTAGCAGCGGAGAAGGAGTTCTACTGCTTGTGTTGCTTAGGCACGGCGATAAGGCGAGAAGTCTTTACTAGAGAGGAGTTCTTAGTTCATCTTAGGGATGTGTGCCGTGTCAGGCCGAAAGGTATTTGGTATCGGAACGATCTTCCTGAGCTGGTTCTTGCAAGCGATTGATCGTATGTCTGATTGTCTCCTATACGTACATAGTAATCTAGGTTGAATCAATTTCGAGAAAGTAATAGCATCTGCCTTTGAGCCCTCTACGAAACAGGCTAGGCCTACTACAAAGGCTTATCATTTGAACCTTTTTGACTTTGCTAGGCATCTAGGCAGAGGTACACGTACACGTCGTCTTGAGAACTGTCTGAAAATGCAAATTAACAGCTTACCCAAAAGCGGAAGGCCTATCTCATTCCAGCATCCCCGACATGCAGAGCACTGTCTCTTTATGAAGGGCCGCGAATCTTGTATGAGGCCAGCGAAAGACGAGGAAGTCATGTTGAAGATGCACGGCGCTGCTCAGGCGAGCAAGAGACGGGTATGGTTTCGGGGTACAAAAAACATGTATCAAGGCCCTCTCCGTTGTCAGACTGATATTGTCGTTTAAGACTGACGACGCGTAGTTAGCAGAGAAACTTAGTATGAAGCAGGGACACGTTCCGGCCCATCCGTGCTTGAACGCATGTGAGATATTAAGCCTGGTATCGATAACGGGGACGTTCATAATATTTCCCAGCACCAATTTCATTGCATACCATTGCGACTCTTGCAACCACTCTACTCAGTCCATCTCGCTCTGATGTCCTCGAGTGACGCTCGATCGTCATCACAGCCACGGCACCGCCGACGATCATCGGTAGCAGCCACGACGTCACGCACTGCCACCAATGCCTGATCGCCGGCTAAGGCAATTTCGTGGGGAAGGTAGCGTGCGGCTGCGGAGGGTCCTCCGCATCATAGCAGATAGGGGAAAAGCAACTGCCGCAGCTAAAACGATCACGATCAGGCTGAGTTCAGGTTTTGCTAGTCTGGTTACACAGCACCGCGAGCATTAGACACTTAACGGCGCTGCGTACCACTACCGGATCAGACGGATCCGAGATCAACGAACCACGACGGCTTATGCGAACGCGAAAGAAAAAGAAAAGAAGAGCGTGCGTGATGCGGGAACGCTGGGCGTGTGGGCGATGGAACGATGGAACACATTTGTGTTTCTTTCATGTGATGGTTGAAACATTGGAATATCGAAACTTGAAATGGACATGACTTCGATGAGGGTCTGGAACGCGTGCAGGGAGTTACCCGCCCATGTGCATTGTGCCTTTCAGACTGTGGCTTGCCTCGCATCCAGTCGCAGCCACGTCGACGAATTCATCCAAAGGAACCCTGGAAAACCACCAACACCTCATCTGCCAAGTTTGCGCTTGAGATCATCTTGCTTGTGGGCAGCATCATCGCAAGCTCCGAATTTGAGTTTCTTTCGTCGGCGAAACCGTCGGTCGGGGCGCAGTCCAGGACGCTGTTTGGTCGATTCAGGGCACAAGTTTGATGAGATAGGTCGGTGAAAAAAATGACGTGTGGTCGATGGCAGAGTAAAAGCAGGGTTCAAAAAGCGGGCTAGTAGCTAGCGTAGCTGACGCACGGGGCGGGATCGACAGCGAACTTTGACGGAACAAGGCAGGCACGACGACGCCAATGCTGCATCATGGAAAGCGAGTTGCAAGGCTGCGTCATCGCCCAGGGCAGTATCGAAACGGGCAGAGACACATAAATCCTTTTCGCTCCCCCTGTGGCTGGCGGGTATTCACAGTCTAACATCACAACAACATACACCTTGAGCATCGCCCTTCTCGTCACCTCTCCCATCCTAGCACCTCTCTCATCAACCTCGAGTCTTAATTGCGACAATGGGTTTCGGCGGCGCTGCTTTGAAGTTGGGCTCTACAGCGCTATATGCGCTTGAGTTCTGCTGTGCCGCGATTATCCTCGGTATCTACAGTTACTTCCTGTCTGTAGAGGCGGACCGCGATGTCAACATTCCCGTCTGGCAGCAAGCCGTTACCGGTCTTGCTGGTGCGACTGTGCTATACACCATCTTCGCAGTCCTGTTGACTTGCTTCCTTGGCGGAAAGGTAAGACAACCCCTTGGCGATATTGATTCCAACACATACTAATGCCATCTCAGAAAATCTTTGCTTTCCTCGGCATACTCCTCGACATTCTCTGCTGCGGTGCCATGATCGCCGTCGCCGTCCTGACCCGCGACGGCGCATCCAGCTGCTCCGGCCGCGTTGAGACACCGCTCGGTGACGGACCCGCCAACTCCAAGGAAGGCTTCGGTTCCAACGGCCGCGGCGACCAGATCACCTACTCCGCCTCGCTGGGTACGATCTGCAAGCTCAACACCGCCTGCTTTGCCGTCGCCATCATCGGCGCCTTCCTCTTTCTGCTCAGCGCCCTCGTCCAGGTCTTCCTCATGAAGCACCACAAGAAGGAGAAGGCGTTCGGTCCCGGCCCCAGCAACGGCTACACCAAGGGCTCCGGCATGAAGTTCTGGCAGCGCCGCAAGGCTAACCGCACCACTGGACACCGCGACCCTGAAGTTGGTACCGTCCCTGCTACTACCGCTGGCGGCCTCGCTGTCCCTGCTGGCACCCACGACTACCGCCCCAGCCACGACACCGCTTACACCGGCTCCACCGTCGCTGCTCCCCAC